TAGATAAACAACGATTCCCATTACAAATATGTATATGAAATAATGATACAAAAACGCTTTAAATTAATATAAAAATTCATATAAAAAATACAGCGTATTACTTACCTACTTTATCATCGAACTAGTAATTGTAAAAACGTATGTGTACGTACGTACAGTCCACAAAAACTGTGAAGGCGCCATTCTTCATGGATAGATTTTGAGATAAGAAAAAGATGGTTTTATGTATCCCAGTTGTAGCATGTCAAACATTAATTACGGACGGGGCCGAACTATGGTGTGGGAACATTCGAAACGGACTACCTGTCTTCAGCCCTGACACGTGTGCACTTTCTCACAAGCGCCTTCGTATAATGCCGCGTCAGATTGACTTTCGAGAAGAGATAATGACAGTCGGAGCTACTTTAATAGAGTAACGATGCCTGTCTTTCAGCTATCGGATTCGGGCACGTTTTACATTTAAAAGATACGCTACCGGATCCAGGCACTTTATCGTCGTGAAATGGAACCGAAAGCATAAAACGGATAACAGCGATCGAGCCGAGAGGAATTTTGCATATTAATACCATTAATAGATTATCTTTGTCTAAATGAACGATGGTGTAATCGCGGAAGCAAATTGGCTGCCACATCGGATATCGTTAATCCAAAGTAAACATTTTCGTTTACCCTTCGGCTATTGATGATCGATGTCTTTCATACCAAGTGAAAGATCCATTATGTGCAATTCCTTAGATGAAACATTTATTAGATATCGTCAAGAATGTATTTATCGTAGCGTGTTTACTCTAATTACTGTAATCAATGCAATTAATAATAGTAATCGTAACGATGATATCTAATACAGACATAATACTGGTGATTTAATTACAGTCATTATTATTATCACTGTTATTCTGGTTTTGATTGATTCTGTAATTATTGATACGTTAGTAGACTTTCAATAATTAATTATAATAATTGATGTAACTTATAATTGTCAATTAAAAAGGAATTTTCATTGCATCTTAAAATTGTAACAATACGAGTCTTATGGAGATATTTATGCATGCGTTATTCATACATTATGGTAACATATTACTAAATTTTATGTATTTAATTATCCTTTATAAATTTATTTAATTCGTGCGTATTTTAACCTTTTAACATTATTTTTGTCGCATTCTTGTTCTTTGCTAAAAACTTGATCGATTCAAGAGGAATATCGGTAAAATTTACAATCCGGTGGTTTATCTAAAAACATTTGTGATTTGGAAAAACTGGGAGCCATAGGCGATGAAAAAATTACTAAATATGATAGAATGTTGTCCCGATAAAAATGAATTTCTGATTCGATGTATTGGCGTAAACAAGAGAAAGGTTATAAATTAATAGACACATTTTTCACAAGACAGAAAAATACAAGATTTTAGAGAACTTAATACGATTTTAGGTAATTCGTTATCCTTCAAAACGATTACAATTGAAAATATAATTCTACTTAATTACACATCATACAATAAGAATGAAACATCCTCCGATTCCTTTGCACAAATACTTATAAATACACTGATTAATTTGAATAAAAGTACGGTCGAAGTGAGTGAATCGCAAAACTGATTAATTACAATTAAAAACTGTTATGCTTTCTTTTTTATTCAGTTTTCCACTTTCGCCCATTCATCTTGGGCGAAAATATTGAAACCTTCTTTGACCGAGAATATTACTTTGTCCTGAATCTTTGTTAATATATTCTCGCGAAGAACTTAAGCGTCTTATTTTAGTTCCTTTGCTGATATATGGTCCTTTTCTCGGAACGCTGACGTGAAAATTACTTTTTTTCTCTTACGAGTTTCGGAGCATCTTGTCTTGGTCCTTTTGGGTTTTCGAATAACAGACATCTCTTTTTGATGAGTTGGGTCCTTTCGCCGACCTCAGCAACCTTCTTATATAATTTATATATTAACGCAGGGAATCAAATTCTATTTTCCTGCGGCGTATCCAAAATTTATCTATAAACAACTCATATTTTAAACACGTATACGTTTTTCCTTCCACAACGACAGATATTTTAACAACTAACACCTTGCCTTATAATGTCGCGCCAAGCTCACGATGAAATTCTCAAACAGAATTTAACGAACATAAATATTACTACGCTGATAAGAAATCGTAAGTCAAGGGGTTAACAGTACGCATAATTGAAATACTATTCGAAATTCAATTTGCTCGTGTATTTATACATATAGTACACGCAACAACAATTAAATTATCCAGTAAAATTTGTAAAAAGAAAAAGCCCAACAGCTCCCTCGAAAATTACCGGATATACTCTAATTTAGCATTACAATCGTTGGCCAAGTTAACTTTTAAGCCATGCCCACAATATTACGTACACAACAGTAATAAAAAATGTAAGGGTCATCTTTGCTTATTATAAAAACATATCTTATCGGTATTAATGAAATAAAAATGTCAACGACGCGATGTAAACCGTTTGATACGGATCTTATTGCTTAATACGGTTTTTAATGGGTGTCCGACTGAGACTCTCTCTTTCTCTCATTAACGAGTATCTCTTTCAATAAGTCTCCCCGAAGAAGAGCTCGAACACTTTCTAATTGCACTGTACGTAGTTACTCAATAACATTTTATGATTCGGCGGGGAGAGGCGATCACGGATTAGACGATCGTTCACAAAACATGATTTATGCCGGCTTAATAGTTTCACAGCGGAGTTCGTCTTCGGGCTACCCATAATCCTTTTTATTACCGCGGAGGACGTTTCACGATGACGGGTCTATCTATGTGGAATTCAGGTATCTGGGCATTCGAAAAAACGACGCCGGTTATAGGGCCCGATATAGCCGGGCGAGTTTTGTCGCGCGTTTCCGCACTCCACTGAATCATTCGAATGGATATAGACGGGCGGCAGTTTCATTTGCAATCCCGTACAAATCGCGGCAAGTCAAAATTGATTGGCAATCGAGTTTCGTCCAACGACGTTTTAACAATTCGTCGAGTTATATCAGGGGAACTGAATATATTCTTTCTTAGGTTTTACTTTAACACGATAACTGCCAGACGAGTCAAAATGACCTATTCCTGATGTCTTCTTTTTGCAATTACTTAAAGGTTAACAGATGTTTCTCTGAGAAATTATTAAAGAAATTAATTTAACAATAAGCAAACTGAATCGTAAATCAATTGCACCCTTAGAGTTTTTATAGAGAAGTTTCAAAAAGTTAATCTAATTGCTCGGTGGTTCTAGTGTTAAACGGACTTTTACTCGTAATCGAAGGATTAGCCGCGACAGAGAGTTATTGGTTCGGAGACGAAAAGGATTTGAGAAATAAGAAGCGAATCCTTTTAATACCTCAGAATCACGAATTATACAATTTTTAGGGAAGACGTTTCATTTCTAACGTAGAGGAAATGAATACTATGACTCGTGTTCTTCTTGTATGTCTAACATTTTTTTCGTTTATATAATGTTAAGCAAAGGCATCAATGCGATAAATAATAATTTGTAGTTAATTGTGTTTGAAAATGTATGAAACAATTTGTGTTTGTTGCATTTCAGATGGTTGTGTTAAAAAATTCCATACAATCAGAAGAGTCAAGTACCTCCTCATCAATCATCCTAGTTGTTTGAATTAAGTAAAAGACGTTGATGCAACTTATCCAAATCTACCTGTAGTATTCACCCCCTCTTTCTCTATTGTAGATTTTAATTAACTATTTTGATACTGTATGTATGGTAATCCTACGAGAAACCATACTAATTACCAACTAGTATGCTAAATAAACCGTAACTGTTATTATGTCATCAAATAATAAAGCTACTCTGAGTATCTAGATAATTAGCGTATATTTTACATTACATTTTGGAAACTGGTGTATATTTTATTTACCACCATCATGATAAAACGTCACAAAACTTGTTGCTGCTTCAGGGCATTTCGAACTTAAATCATTCGAGGAAGCTTGTAAATGTCTCCGCTTTCACTTCTGAAAATGTGCTTTTCTGATCACTGGGTAGCTACCGTGGGGCCATTAAGATTTAGGTTACACTCGATCTTCATTCAAAGTTCGTTCTAACGCGAGTTTGAATGAGCACACGGTCCTCTTTGTTTCTAGTCACGTGCCCGTTCCACGCCCTCGACTCAAGCCCCTTTCTTTTTCTATCTTCTATTCCTTTTGCCCTCTTTGGAAATCCCGGACTTCTAGGAAACCGGCAAAGGATTGTCCTAGAGATTCGACCACCCACGTGGAACCAGGCTTTACAGCTTCCCCGAATGTCCGGATACAGGATATTTTCGGTAACTTTAAACCGCGAAGTGTACTAGAAGATTATACATCGTCTCTTTCTCCTCTATTTTCGATGAGACAAAGTTTACCCGATGAACGGTAGCAACAGGAAGTTCCTTCGGATTACTGGCCCTGATGACAGAGGGCCATGGACCTAATGCCACGGTGCTCCGTAATTCACTTTAATTAATATTACTTATTATTGTTGATTATTTAGGGAAACATATAACATATTCTGTAATATTTTTTTATCAGAACTGAAAGATAAGTTAGTGCTTTATAATTAAGATAATGGCAACAAATAGTGATGATAATCTTTGAATTATTCTTTTATCAGGAACGTTTCTGATCAAAAATACAACCTTTCGGTAGTTGGTTCGATTTGATTATTTGAAATTCAAAATACATTTTAAAGTTTAGTTTGGAATTGTCACGTGGTGTAATAATTTAAAATTATTTTTACAAGGAGCAATCTGATGATGGTAGGTAGCTGCATTAGCGTTATCGGTAAGGAAGAATATGCGATATAAATTGAAAATACAGTTTCTAACAATGTGCCTAATATTTTGAAATAGATTTAGAATTATTTCATACTTTTACTGTGAAAAATGTAAATACAACAACTGTGTAGATTCTTTTATTTCAATTAATCTATATGTAATCCATATGTAATTAAGCATACTTAAGGAGTATTCTTGTTTTATACAATTACACTTTCATTTTAACAGAATACTTTTGACATTAACGAGATATAAAAATATAGTAAAGTAATTTTTCGTGACACAAATCAGACTACCTTACCGACCTAGAAATTCCAGGCTGATTACATATAGCGTCCTCTTCTGATGACAAATTGTTAATTAGAATAATTAAAACAAATGAAAAATAAACTGGAATTTATTTCTGTGCTTGATAAGAAATGGTGGATTAGTCATTAGTGTACTTAATAATTTAAATGCTTTCATTATTGACACTTTATGCATTAAATTCAAGTTAATCATTGAATATTTTCATTTCAACATGTTAATTACATATAGAGTATGTTCAAAAATCGTAAAGATGAAAGGTTATAAAAGAAACTGTTGTTAGTGAACTTCAAAAGAAAATTAATCGATCGCTCTTGCTTGAGCTTGGTTCTGAAGATAGCGTTGCCTGTAAGCCCCACTCGGATCATATTTTGCCTCAAGAAGACTCCAATCTTCGGCTCTGTGATCGATTAAATAATGAGTGACCTTATCTGAGACTTCCTTCTGCTTCTCGCTACAGGCCGAACAGTCGTGTTCCAAGGCATCAGGCAGGTTTTCTGTAATTTTGATTTCAATATCAACTTATATTTTGATCAATTATTTTAGCAACATTGAAATCGAAACAACAGTAATTTGGATTTCTATAAATAACAGCGAACAAAAATATTTTAAATTTTGACAGAAGTAATATATACAATTTTAAATGAAGTAGTTGAAAATATTTACATATTATTGAATAAAGTATACAAACATAAATAACTAAAAACTGTTAAACTGTTGAATATATTTAATTCTTACAAAACAAAAACTAATTCATAATGTGCCCAAATTATAGAATTATTATGTTAAAACAAATTGCTTCATCAGACATTGAAATCTCTAAAGTAACTTCCGTATTGCTGTTTCATCTTCAAAATCACATTACAAAAACTAACTATCGTAACGAGATTATCGAAAGGTGGTGAATAAATATTGTTACTTATTTTATCATAATGGGAACAAGAAAGGTCGATTCGAAACCTGCTGTAACTTATGATAGGTATCTTATGACAACACTATAATATACAGGGTATCCCATTCACTCTGTCACAGTGCTATAGGTGAGTATTTACCTCTATTATGGAAATCTTGCGAAATATAACCTTAAGGGAACAATTATTTACACCGTAATATACATTTCCTCAAACTAAATAATTAATACGTCTAACATCTTGCATATAAAATTCACGCAGATATCCCATTGTAACAGAGTTAATGGGACGCCCAGTACACCGTAGCTATCATTCTGTAACACCAGTCACAGTTGCAACGATGATAACTGCATTTTCAAACTGAACATCCTTCAGGCACGTCACGTACTGAAGAAAGACATTCTCCGCTCGGGTAATTATATCGCGTAACATTTTTTTCCCAGATGGCAAAGGACGCGTAACTGATTTAATGTGCGACCTTGTCCTCCGGGAATAGTAACGACGCTCATAAAATTGCGGTCGACCGTAAAACGACGGCATCCCGCGTAAGAACAGCTGTGGAATATGCACACAAGTGCACACTCGTTCACATGCACATGTATATTTTGTACTAGGTCATTAACAAGCAACTCGGATTTCCCGAGGATCGCCAAATGAAGCTATAAACCATGGCGTGTTGTTTATCGGCTTATATGGCGTAAATATTAGACTTTTTTATTTATCGTGTAAATTGAAATTGCTGTTGATAATTTCGTGCGGATAAAGTATTTTGTCGTTTAATATTTTTTTTTATAACGTGTCCTCGCAACACATGCAGGATAGACAAATTATTTTTTTTCATTTTACGAAATTCGAAATCGGTAATTGGAAATTTGCATTTTTTTAATTAATTAATTGTATTTTAGTAATTTAGTTGATAATATGTGAACATCGTTTATTATAAGATATACTTGGAAGTTGATTACTTTTTATATATTAAAAATAAAATATTTCCTTATACATAAATCAAATTCTTATTCTTATTTAATGGAGAATGGGTACAAAATGTTACGTCTTTCATTAATTATTATGACTTTTATCACTTAAATGTAAAATATAAGGTAAAACAGAGATGGAATAAAATTATTATTTTAGAATTAATTAAACAGAATTATTAGTGACCTAACAAAAATTTCAGTTACTTCTAGTGTTTGCACGTTTATCTATAACAATGTGTATCTGCATAAGTTTCTTCGGCCTACTGATCAACAATCTATCGTGAATCCTGAACCTAAGTAAACGTATAAACTTTATTCGTATCTCATTTCATGCTAAAATACAGTTTCTAATTAAATATACTCACTCTTAATTTCAGCAGCGTCGGGGGTGCAAGCGCCACGGTCAAGCAGACAATTCACGTAGCCATTCAGTAGTCTCTCACTGTTAAGCACCGCATCGACGTCGACATTGTCGTACTTTGTTGTATACTTGTTTTCAGCAAGAACTTCTGACAGCAGAAGACAAACTGAAAATATAAGAGAAATGGAGATACTCTTCATTTTGGTTGTGAAGATTCGAAGCTGAAGTTTCATGTATCACTGACTATTAATCTAGTTAGTGGGCATGCTTTATACTCTCGACAAGGTTCGCTTGTTGCACGAAATCACGGCCAATTACTGGTAGTATACGAGGAAAATTGATACATAATTTGATAGAAAAAATGAGTACAATACAGAGATCATTTTCTTGTACGGTAAGACATCGTTAGATAGCAGGATCTTTTTACGGGTATAAATAGTTCTCAGAAAAGAGTTACATTTGAACGAAGTTTCTGAAAATATTATTCCATTTGTAAGAATTCTTTCTGCCTGCGATTTCATTTATTCATTGGAGGTAAACGGAAATTAATGTAAGTATGTCTATTTCTTTAAGATTTAGCAGATCTACAAAAAAATTTTTTAAGAAAATTAGAAACAAATAAATAGTCCATTTATCTGTATGTTCTATGATGTTATATGAGTTACTAAGATACAACAAGTTTATTCCTATATATGAATTGCATATTTTATATCATATTTTAAATACCCTTGGGCAGCTTTAATATCTAGTTAGTGTTATAATCTTCGTCTTCTTCATTGGTAAATTGCAATAAAATTTGTTTAAAGAAATCATTAATACTATTATATTTGTTATTGAAGAATTTTGTATTTGGAGGATTATGGTAAATTCTGTTGTACAATAAATTAGTAAACTTATCCATGGAAGTAATTTGCAGAAATTAATTCAATAATGATTGATCTTGTGGAACAGAAAATGAGTCTGATTTAACGTGCAGCTGGAAAACCACGAAATTGGCGAATAATTGAAATGATCCTTACTGCTGTCAACCATCGTCGGTAATGGTTGATGACATAAACAGAAAATCAGGTGTATGAGTAAGCACAATTCTATATAAACAGAAAGGCTAATACTATTACTAGATAGTATTTCAACTTGACATTATTACCGTATAATTAAATATCTATTGTTATTTACTTCAGACTTTATTTCAGTGTTCCACTTTTAAATTTCTTTCTGTACCTAATTATAGTATTCATTATCTAAGATTCTATTTATCTAGTATTCTTATAAATTAGATAATCAAATTTTTACAATTTATACTTTTATTATTATAATTGACGAAATAATTCGTTTCGTTTCGTTTTACGGTGAATAAAAGTTTCCATTTTCTTTACAACTTTATAATTCTAAGATATGAATACTTAATGATATTTATGCCGAGACAAACTCATCTTTTAGTATCTATAAGCGATAAAACGTGAATAGAATTTTACAAATTTGTGAAATCTCATGTGGTATTCTATGAATTTACTTACATAATCTTGGCTTTTCCTGTAATGTTGTGAAATAGACAATGATGGGATCAGAATTAAATAGTTCTTTCTAATTAAATCGCCTAACTGCGCACAATTTACCTTTTTAAACTATAATTCGCTAAGATTGAAATTAAACAGAAATTAAACGAGTTCAAATAAAAAATTAAATTTTTGTTAAATTATTAATCTCACAAACTTTTTATTTCAATAAATTTTCACCCGGAATATTCAAGTGAAACAATTTATGCGAAAGAAGATTTCGTTTAATCATTTACATCTTAGATATTATTAAATATTATTCATTCTTTCTGTTGCTATCATATTATTAACAAATTAAAACTAAAGTCTGAATAAATAATTAAACTCATTATAAGCATATATTAATAAAAAGGAAATCTTGGAAAAATGGAAATGGTGGCTTGAAGACATGAGCAGCTACAGGAAAATGGAGAATCGTGTTTTAAAAAAATAAACTCATAAATTGGTGTAACATTTTCCCGTGTTATTTGTCAACGTTGTTAATAATATAAAAAATATTGCGAACCAGTTGTATGATTCTTTTTGAGTATTGCTGTATCCTGTAGATGCGTAGAATTCATCGATTGATTATGACGAATACTTCCTCAATACGAAACCGCCTTTATTGAGACGTTCTTTATATAGGAAGAGCCTGGGGATCGCTGGAATCGATAAGACATTGTAATGCTATAAATGATTCTTCCTCCACATTATTTCGTATTCTGTTCAGGCGTCTCAGGCTTCGTAAATTCAACGTGGCAAGCACGCGTTTTAAGTTCTCGTTCCTTCCTCGTGAAATCTGAAACTTCTTGTCGACTTTACTACGTGAGATTTATACGTAGAGGTGGTCTCACCATCTCCGATGATATCGTTGCTTCTCTAAAAATCCTTCTAAGCAACAGTTCCTTCCTCGACCGGTCTTATCAAATTTTCAAGACGTAACGCTGATGCCGTGATAATTATATCCCATAGTGTGACCATAAATGGCGTGTTATTCAACATTTGAGGAATCGGATTTCTTGCCCCCAGATTAGATTTATAAAACTAATATAAAACAATAAATTCGCATAAATTTAGTTTTTGAACATGTATTTGGACATCAATTTATTGATTTCTTTTCCAAACATATAAATAATTGTGTACAATATCTATTACATCCATTACAAGAAAATATATTATTTATATATAATACTATAAGTACATTTTTATTATTTGAACCTTAGAATCCCCGTATTGTCCTTTGTCTCAGGCGAAAAATTAATTAGCATAGCCCTAAGTAGATGATAGTCTGAACATAAACAAACGAGATCAGGACTTCTGGTTGTGACAATGTTCGCATGACACCGAAGACCAATAAGTCAGTTAACTGATATCAAAAGGGTTAAATACAATCAACTAATCCATCATTAGAAAAGAAGATTTTGCAAGAACAAATGTCCTTCTCGTAACAAATGATATTAACACATTCAAGACGATTGGGAGTTGTAATTCCTGACTAAGAGCGAATATCGCGGTCGCTTTGGCGACTACAGTATCGTCTTAGGAACTATAATATTGTTTCGGAACTACGTATCGCTTTAGGAACTATAGCGTCTTAGCAACTACAGCATTATTTTGGAACCACAGTATCGCTCTGAAAACCATATATCACTCCAGGAACTACATTATTGCTTTGGGAACTGCAGTATTGCTTTGAAAATTACAGTATCACCTTTAGAACTGTAGCATCACCTAGAAAACTACAATGCCAACTTGGAATCTATAGTATCGCCTTGGAAACTATAGTCTTAGGAACTGCAGCTTAGTCTTGGAACCACAGTATTTGGAAGCTACATGTTAGTCTAGAAACTCCAGTATAACTTTGAAAATCACAATATCACCTTGGGAACTATACTGTTACCTTAAGTATTAAGGGCCAGTTTAGAACCTACAAGTATTACCTCAAAAATTATAATATCGCCTTAGAATTACAGTATCGCCTTGGGAACTATAGTATGGCATTCTGAACTACAGCGTCCCCTGAGAAACTGAAACTAGGAACAACACTAGAAAATTAGAGTTCGGGAATTAAGTAGTTCCCATCCGTTCCAGATGTATCAGTTAAAATTCAGTGTACTGTGTGTCATTCTCATCAGAGTCAGTTTCCGGCCACACGGCACATGCGTAGCAGATCTTGTCCATGTCCCTCCAACACTCGGCGCAATGCACGAAGGGACAACCCGATGTTGTGCATTGTCGATACCTTGGCCCTTTTCTCGGCTCCACTTCGCCGCAAATCAGACATCTCTCCCGCGCGCAGGCGAAAAATTTCAGCCAATCGAACAAAGCCGGCCATTTCTGTCTCATCGTCATCCAGAAATCAACTTCGTACTCCAAGCGACGCATCCTGACCAACCGTTTCACCTTCGCCTTCATGAATTTCACGAAACCGATCCGCCTTCGCAAACTTTCGTTGTACAGATACAGCGTTCTCCTCTTTTCTCTTTTTCTGTAGAAGAACGAGCAGATGCCTCGACGCGTCCTCTGCGTGTAAATCGATCCGACGATCAATAGAAAAATGCCGAAGAACGTCCCGTAGATCTTCAACAGCACGTAGCCCTCCAGTTTCGTTGGCCTCGGAAGACAAGCGCTGTTCGTCGTCACGGTTTTTATACGCTTCTTCACGTTAAACCCGCGAACCGCGCTTCTGATCAGGGTTGCTATCACCCCTGTCCCTTTAATTTCTAATGCTAGGTCGTGATGTCCTGCCTGGAAAAATGATAGGACTTGTCAATAACAATGATTGTCAATAACTACAATTTTTAGTATATGTCGGAGTTCTGTTTTGAAAAATTGAAGCACAATTATCGAAGAACACACGTATTTCTTAACTTTGATCAATACGACTTTATCGTTAATAATTTATTAGAAAAAGAAACAATTTTGATGCTTGTTCTATGTCTACGTCTACTCCAAAGATTAACAACTAATAACAGAAAAGTATTATTTAATTTATATTTAAAAAAAAGTAAATAACACTTAAGTTCTTCAAACTCAGCAGAAAATTTTTGCCACGAGTCCGACACAAGATTGTAGGTTATGGAGTTGCTAAAATGGGTAATAATATGATACGATATAAAGGCATTCATTTGCAAACATGACTCCACAAAATGAGAAGTAAAAAAATTAAGTGAAATTACAGACAGAATAGGCTAATTAACCCTTTTCGCGCAGCAAATTGCAAACATTCAAACAGTGAGGTTAATCACTTTGACCTGTGAACGGTTCAATTAACAAACACGAAAAGGAAACTCGCCTGAGTATATTCTATATAAGCATGCCTTCCAATCATGTCCAACACTTCGTAGAATAATGAGTCCAAAATGACGAAAATGCTCGCTGTTATTATCTCGAGCAGCAGCTTGATCATCTGACCAGTTAAATTGAAAGCCTCTGCTTTGCCCGGTTTCAGGCTGTAAGGGTCGATGAATTTTTTCCGTTCGATCTTCTTTAACGGCAGCAACGTCAAACTGCCGCGTGCCTTCCTTCTCGCGTCAATCCTTCGGAAATACGGCGTCACGTAAACGTTATCGTGTTCGATATCGTTTAAGTACTTGTCGTGATAGGTTTGAGCGCTGAGGATGATCTTCAGAAATATAAAGGACAAGCATCTTTTTATAGCGACCATTACAGATTCGAAGAGCCTCGCTCTTGTTGTAAATTGGTGTACAACGGCCTTAGCCGCGTAGGCGGAATCCTGCAGATCTAGGATCACTGAAGGCTTTTTTATTTTGTACTGCAGCTTGGCGTCCTTTAGGCTTCTGGAGAACTCGTTCCGCGCATCTTTGAATAATGATCGCCTTATTGAATTTTGAGTTGTGTACAAAAATATGACGTTTTCATATCTTTTTCGCATAACAAAGTGAACTATTTAACGTGAAATTTTCAGACAATACGTTAGAACGTGATCCGAATTTATGAAAACGATTAGCAATTATTGTTAATTGTACTTATGTAACTTTTGAAAGATCGTCGTTTACGAAATACCTGTATATGAACTACTTACTTTCGCTCTATAGACATTTATTAAATATTTTAAACTGTTAAAAGGAAATCATTGGACTTATTTTTTAAAAATACTACCAATGATAACTATTTACGAGTATAATAACATTACGAATATTTTCATTGCATTCATTCGCATTTCATTTTTAATTTTTAAACGAGAAGATCACGAATCCTAAAGAAAGGCTAAAAACAATTATGCACGGTTATTTAAATATCAATATATTATTGTACTTGTAGATTAAGTAGAATCAAATGTATAATTCAGAAACTTTTTTGTATTTCGTAAGTAGAGAATTATATTTAAATTTACAATATTTGTACTCTATATTTTCAATATTTGTTCTGCAGTAATTAACAATTTATTCAGATCTTATTTAATGAAATCATGTAATCTTAAATTGCGTACTTTTTAAAGCGGCATAACCTTCACCAATACCGCTATCAACCTTTCCTTCCGGATCGCAGATGCTAGAACCACCCAATGCCTGGACCAAATTGCAAACGAAAGTCAGCTTCATCGGCCAACAGAGAAGCCACGCAGCAAACATGCTTACTTTATCGTAACATTTGTCGTAAGCATCACTAAACATTTCCCTTTAAGTAAGTAAATTAATGAAAGTGTGAACCAAATAATTTATAGTAAAATGCATATACATTTAATTTATGTATCACAAATCGTATTTTAATCAATAAACTACGAATATTAATACAATCTTGTATTTTTAAGGACTACTACACAACAAGCACAAGCTTTGAAAATAATTATTAAATAAGTTTGAAGAAAGTATTCTGTCTTAATTATATCGAAAAATTTCTTCCTAGAGCATTATGCACACTTGTACATTCGAAACTATACTGTATAGCACACGTATAACTGTATAGCATAAACTATCATAATTTTTCTGAAAATATATTTCGCTTTATGAAACATACCTACACCTGTCTGCACCCTTGCTGAGTTGTTCCTCGCAACGAGCTTCTATCTTTTGCTTGTATTTCGCTTCATACACATCAGCGACCGATCGAGCTTCTTCGAGTTTCTTCTCGTGCTTCTCTTCAATTTCTTTACTTCTCTTCGTGTCACCTTGTAACTCATCCAGATAATCATTTTCCTCGTTCAAACGTTGCATTTCTTCTTCACCTTCAATTTCCTCCACAATGGGACTCATGAGATCCCTTATCGAAGACAGCGTATCTTTTATTTCTTCTCCGTCAGATTTCATTGAAAGGATAGCCTATTTATAGACAAGGATATCATGTATCTTTTTAAATGTGCTGAAATGCAAATTCTTAATGAAGAATGTCGATGTTCATTTGTATCGATCTATGTCTAATATACTAACAAATATTAACAATTAAAGGTGAATTATATCCAATATTTTTTTCAATATATTTTTGTTAAACTCAATATACCATTGAAATAAGTAAGGTGATTGTAATATGTATGAAATATTTTTGTAACGAAAGATATAATTGAAAATATAGGTATAATACTGGGATAAATTATGCTGTCTATAGATATATAAAAGTTAAAGTGATTTCACATTTATTCTTAAGTATACTTATTTTGTGTAAGCTAACAATAACAAAGCAAAGATTTCAGTATACAAAGCGACACCGTTGTTGGACTTGAAATAAGTTAATGTTAATAATATGCTAAACTAGCCAATTATAATAACATTTGCATGTACCAATTATAGAAAATTGAAATGAAATTCTATTATGAATTCTAAATTATAAATCCTACCTGTTGAAATGGTTTGAACATCAAATCGAACCGCGTCTTGGTAAGATTATAGGTCAACTGGGAGGTGCAGGCAAATGATCTCACCACTTCTTTCGCGTTATATACCATATTAAAGAGCGGACCAGCGATTATGTACCCAAAAACTAATGCTCTTAACATGCTGCGACCTGAACGACCGAAGAAAGCGGGTATTGTCAAAGCACAAATGCATCTCATCTATTATAACAAAAGTTACAAGCACCTGTTACTACTTGGTTATTTTTAATATTGCAAAAATAATCCTTTCTAAGGAATTTCATAATGTATATAATATTTATAAACCAAAGGGAATAGATAAATAATAAAAACTTAGAGATAACCATAAATTTATCAATATAATTATAGCCAAGGGATCAAAGCTGTTTTGCATAATGTGAAGAAATGTATAAAATGAGGAAACATGATTTGTATAGTTTTAGTTGTTAATATATTTAACTTAACTTTTAATATATTTATTAATTTAATAAATATTAAACATTATTTTTGATTTGTATATTCATTAGTTTAATAAATATATTAAAGTTTAGTTTAATATATTTATAACTTAATATGTTTTTTAAGTAATACTTCAAAATATTGAATTGAATTTAATTAATTTTCTTAAATATAAGAAGCAACATTTTTGTCAACAAACCCATTGTACGAAATACCTGAATCGATGAGGCGCATCCAACGGACAGCATCGTGGCTAAAATTATGGCAAGAGCGAAACTAGTGTATTTATCGAAACGGAGGTCAACGATGATACATTCGTAAAGGAGAACAGCCATGGAGAAGCCATATAAGAAACCTATGAAGGCACGTGATTTTCTATGTGTGCCAATTGGGTCGTAGCAAATGTGAAATAAGGTTGGAAAATGATTTAAATAATATTTGAAAAAGGACTTTTTGAATAGGTCCACTCGACGGCTAAACTTGGTCTGACTCTCCATCTTTTTCTTTCTATAAGATCATTTAATTTCATCGCTTTTTAATTAATAATTCTAAATTGAATATTGTTCGTTTCATGGTTAAGAAGAAATGCTTGACTTCTATGTTCGTGTAAGTTCTTTTTTCCTTATATCATTAAATTCAATGTCACACGAAGTGATATGTTAAAAGTTTTCAAGTAATAGTTACTTTATGAAATGTTCTAAGACTCTTTGCGTTATGTTTTATAATAGTTCTTTCAATGAATGGTGACAGTTCTTAATTCGTCAAACAAATGACTCTTTTTCTTATTATACACGTACTATATGTGTATTATATAGTATGAGGATCTTGTACGAACATGTATGAAAATGAACATATTTGCAAATGTAAATGTTTACCCTTCATTCCATTTGTAATCATAAATTAAATTTACAAAATTCTTTTATGCCAGCTATTCGAATAATTTATTTGTAAATTTGTGACTTATCTTTTTATAGCAACTACTTTAGAAGTTATTCGTTTAATTGACATTTCTGTGTGTCATTGTATCCATTTGTCATAAAAACTTCGTTCTAAAAATTATAAAAATTTCTATAACATTCTAAACATTCCTTTTTTCAAGCTGCATAGCATTATCTAAACCACGAGACATAAAAATAACATACACAATTCTTCAGTATGTGCCTTGATGTTCATAAATGCAAAAGCAACTGTTTGAAAACCTAATTGGCATCGGACGTTATTCCTGGAAAAGCATAGTCTTGAATAAACATCCTTAAAAAATTCATCAGTCATCCATCGCTACAATCTTCTTGCAATAATATTACATAATGGAGCCGACACTCTGCAACCGAAAATGTCTCGGTGACCGCTTGAAAAACGTTCGTCGAATACGAAATGGTGTAACTCCTTTTTCGTTAATTCGTGTGCTAGGCCACGTGTGATTTTGCATTGTAAACATTGAAAGTAAAAGAATGAAATACGAATGTGGAATGTTACGAAGCTGATTACGTTTAACGATACTTTATTAGATAAAGACGTTAGGTTAAGTCAGTTTCTCGGAGGTTATTACACAGTGTCTGTAAACATAGCACTTTTCAGCTTGTATTATACACAGATAGATGTTACGACCAATTATCAAACAACACCAACGTTAACTATGTGTTCATTATGGCTGATAATTTTCTTGATTGTCGTCGAGGTCACGTTAAAATTATCGAACTCCGTGTAATTTGTGACGCGTATCCGTCGATCTTCAAACTTTGATGCCATGCTTCTTCGCCTCTTCTTCGTACTTGACCCTGTATTTTCCATCAGGATCATACTTTGACATCAGTTTCTTCCACATTGCGGGTTTGTTGTCTGCGAGGAATCGGATTACCTTCTCCGCCATTTCCCTCTGCTTCGAAGAACATTTCTTGCATTCGGTGGCCAACGCGTCAGGCAGAACTCCTTAATTAAAAAAGTACAAAAATTAATGATTAAATGTAATTTGGTTCAAGCTAAGGATTAATCATTCGCAGATCATACGTTTAAGAAGTAAAAAGAGAAAGATATTGGAAGTTAAGGAGCGAGGAAAAATAAGTGTGTAAAAAGTCTGTTGAAAATAATTACATGAAGTTTCATTTCTTTCCTATTCTTTTGAAGAAAACAGCAAAGGATTTCAGAGAAGTAGAAAATAAAGTATTACGAATTTTGGAATTGTAATAATTGAGCTTTAGTGTTGAAGAATCCTGAGTTTTGATTTTAATAATAACTCTAATAAGATAATTTATCACTTAATAGGATGTAATCAGTATGTTAGCAATTAAAATATCTTTGAAAATAAAGTTTTAGATATCAGTATTTGGAAATTAAATTGGCGCGTGCGATCGTGCCCCGGTGATTTCAATGCCCGATTGAACGAACATGCGAACATTATTATCGAATTACTAACAACTCTTGTAAACATGTTAGATATTTAATCAATAATCAGTTGATAATTGCGAAAATAATATATGTATGTTACTATAATATATTTATTATACG